GATAATCAAAACGACACGTGGAATGCGCTTCGATGTCCATATCAGAGATGGTTAGGCTTATGGTCGAGCCTTTGGACACCGATATCAACCAAACGCACTCAGCGTTGTGTGCGTACGGCTGCGGATAACCGGGACTTTCAACAGATCCCGTTTGAGTGGTCAAAAGGCCGCCGCAACCCGTAGTCCCGCTGTCGTACGTTATCTCAAAACCTTTGGCACTCATTGTTCGGTCGGATTTAAAACGAAGATATAATACGTGTCCTGAAGTTACAAATTAAACAAATATTATATTCATTGTAATGGTATATAAATCTATATAGACTTTAAATACCGTGAGATGTAATGGTTTGAGGAATAGTTTTGCCGCAAAAACTTCCAATAAGTGGCGATCGCTCTTCCCTTCCGTTTCTTATCTCGAGAAAATCGAAACGACAACCGGAACCGCCTTCCAGTTCAAAGTCGGTCACATTGAGCACAATTTGTCGTCCGTTGTCCACTTCCAAGAGCCAAACGCAGTCTCTTTGCGGCGGATAATTAGCGGTTGGATAACCGGGCGATCGGATAATTCCGGAATCCGTGAAATAGTTTCCGCCACAAGAATGGGTCACATCGAGGAAAGCATAGGCGGCCGCAAAGCCCTCCTGCGCTCGCCTTCGGTCGGACTTAAACGATACGAACAATTGATTTCCGGTGGATGTGAGCACTGGTGGCAATCGATTGCCGCAATATCTGCCGATCAGTGCGTTATTTGAATCTTTGATTTCCACGAAATCGTAACTACAGTTGCGATGAGATTCCAACGCGAATACAGTGAACGTAAGTCTCACCACAAATCCGATGTCAGCCCTTATAAGCCACGAACATTGGGCCGAATGGGGGTAAAAGTTGGGGTGATTTGGTGTTGTGAGTGAGCCGTGATTTGTTGTTAATACACCTTTGGATTAGATTAACAATGAGAGCACTGACAGTGGGATTCATGTCTAGACAAACCTCCACATCCGATATCAATACTGCTGTAATTGGCGTGAAATCCATGATTACTAACGGAGCCATCGGTTCCGAACTTAAGCCACAGTTCATTATATTTGGATGTCGTTGTCTCGGGTAATATCGCACCGCAATATCGGCCCAAATTTGTGCCGTTTTCGTTAGACTCGCGTATTTCGAGGTAATCATACGTGCAATCAATAGATCCCTCGACATCGAAGTGCAGGAAACTGAGCTGAACTAGACTTCCCATCGGAAGCACAATATGGTACAGACACTTGCGGTCAGACGGATACGGATCCGGAAAGAATGGCGATGTTATCACTCCCTCCGTGTCTGATGTTATTGTAAAATTCAATCAATCAGTTCAACAAACTATACAATAAAGTAAAAGCAATTCAAAAACCTGTATAAAGTCCTCCGCAAACCGTTGACTGTTATATAGGATAAGAGATGTTTAAGAATTTGATTTAATAATGCCATCAAATGACTCACATATTCGGCTCGAAATCCTTGTCCAGTGAAAGAAGAATCGGCTCTAAACTTAATCCATAGTTTATTACCTTTAGAAACGATAGATCGGGGCATCTCTTGGCCGCAAAGTCTATTGATAAGCGGGGCTTCACTGTTGTCGCCCTCCCTTATCTCCAAGTAATCGAAATTACATTTATTATGATTTTCCAAATCAAATAATGTAAATCTAATCTCAATCCTTTCCAACGGATGAATCCTTATAATCCAATCGCAGATCACATTATTTTCGTATTTATCGGGAAAGTTGGGCGAATTGAATGATCCCTTCTCTACAAAAATCAATTACACGACAAATGTTTAGCTTAAATAATATTAAATTACTAATGAAATAAAACTAATTGAGACCAGAAGTGAGAGTTCCGCCACAACCAGGTATTCCCGGCACAGAAGAGTATGTTATATGAAAGCCATTGTCAGACATGGAGTCGTCTGAATGGAAATGAATCAAAGCAAAGGGTCCGGAGCTTATGAGGGGCGGCGGTGTTGTCGAGTTGCAGTATTTGCCCAAAACCACATCGACATCCCTTTGACCATCAAATACCTCCACGTAATCGAAGCTACAGTCGGGATGTCTTTCAATTTGAAGGGTCGCGAAGTGAAACTGAATCCGTTTGCCGAGCGGTACGCGAACTAACCAATAACAGTCCCGATTGTGCGCGTATTTACCCGGATATCCGGGCGAATTAATTGATCCGTACTCCTTCTCTTCCAACTCTCCGCCACACACTATAACAACACATAAGAGTTATAGTACATGATGACAAAAAACAAACATGATAATTTTGTTTTAACCTGGTTCTGTTGTATTCCACACCAATTGGAAGCCCTCGTGAGTGATGGAGTGATCAGATCTGAACCATAAATACATTTGATGATGAGTAGTGATAATAGTTCCCTCTTTAGGTAAGTTAGTGCCGCAAAATCTGCCCAAACTGTGAGCGCCGGCATTGGGTCCGTCGTGTATTTGCAAGAAGTCAAAGGAACAGTCGGGAGTGGACTCCAGATTAAACATACGGAAAGTGACGTTCAATACTTTGCCGGTGGTTGTGGTGAGACGCCAGGCACAGCTCACACGGTTCGGGTAAACATCGTTGGGATCCGTTGGGAAACTAATACTTCCCGCTTCTGTACTGAAAGAGCCGCCGCATGTCTGTTCAATACTTTGCCGGTGGTTGTGGTGAGACGCCAGGCACAGCTCACACGGTTCGGGTAAACATCGTTGGGATCCGTTGGGAAACTAATACTTCCCGCTTCTGTACTGAAAGAGCCGCCGCATGTCTGTCGAAGCTCTGAACACGTGGTTCCCTGATATCGATCGGTGCAAACGCATAGAAAACCGTTTTGTTGGTCAGTACAGGTGCCGCCGTTTTGACACGGATTGGGCACACATTCATTGATTTCTTGGTCGCAAAGACTTCCGGTATAACCCGCGTAACAAACACACGAAAATGTGTTTCCACTCGGAATACACGAGCCATGACTGCAAGGATTGCTCGTACATGTGGTCCCAGTTTGGGCCACACAACCATTGGGTCCAATACCACTGCCGATATACCCGGCCGGACAGCGACATTGTCTGAAAGCCGATGAAATGGCCATATTCTCAAAGCATTGAGCCGATGGATGACAGCCACCGTTGTTTAGATGACATGTGCCCACAAAGTCACACGTTATACCTTTATTCATAACCAGGACATTAAATTTTGGTTTTTAGTAAACCAAAAAACGAGTGAACATACCGTTGCCATTATAGCCGGGCGGACACGACGAACATATTCTTGAGCCGACAGTATTGACACATTGAACACGAGGTGATTGAGAACAGCCGCCGTTATTTAGCTCACATTCGTTGATATCGTGACAATAATATCCGTTTCCTGTAAAACCGTGAGGACAGGGGCCGCAGTAAAAAGTACCAGGGGCGTTTATACACGTGACCGGCGGGTTCGCTGAGCACTGAGGCTTTCGATCGGCGCACTCGTCTATGTCTATAACACAGGCCGGGTTATGACCGCTTGTTGTCCACCCCTAACACCAATTATTCATATGATTTAGAGTTAATGTTAAGTTATATAACGGAGGGATAGGAATGGACAGAACGGATGAGCACCTGATCGCAAATGCAATAATAATTGGGAAGACCGATGATATTCCTCTTCTGATTAAGACACGTCCCGTGACCACAGAGGGCCTCATTGGAGGCCGAAGAGCAGTCGTCGTGCTGTTCGGTGCAGTGAATGCCAAACCAGTTGGCCTTACAGTTGCACCGATAGCTGCCCGGAGTGTTTTGACAGGTGGCCTCATTCTGACAGCCCAACTCTGTGCCCACAAACCTCAGACACTCGTTCACATCCGTATCACACGTCACACCCTATCGGTCAGTCAACTTGGCGTTAGTTTAATGTACGCATTGGTGGACATAGTGTTACCTCCCAAGTGGTCGGACACTTGCAGATGAAACCGTTATACGTGTCGACACAAGTGCCACCATTTCTGCACGGATTGCTATCGCATTCATTCTTCTCCAATAGCTATTAATTTCATAATTTTTCACATGAAATACAATGAATTGAGGGATAATTAAATACAAAATGAACGCTCACTTGAGTTAATTGGTTCAATGATGTATCGATTCTTTGAATCTTACGAAGAGCTCTGCGAACAGTGCCGGGCGTCAGAGCGTTAGAACCGGTGCCCAGGATTTGGTTTAACTTATTGGTGCTGTCATTGAAGGCCAATTGCTTGGATCTCATTTCGACCACTGCACTCACGAGGTTAGAGTACTGTGTCTTTAGCTGATCCACACCGTCTTGCAATTGAGCCACTTTGGAGCCGCTCATCGAATCCAGATTTGCCCCTCTGGCCAATTCCGCGATTCTGGTCATGTCCTGGCCGTCAACTGTTATCCTTCCGCCGCCACTCGACCGGAAGGTTATGTTTTTATTAATAGCCGTCTCGAAGATTATATGCCCGTCTTTGACCACAATTCTCGGCCTAAAGAAGTTTTTATAAAACAATTTTTAACAATATTAGTGAACACTTACTGTGAATCAAACGGATCAATAAAGTTGTTATCAGATATGCAACACATTATAGCCACAAATAGTATTAATAAACTGACCCTAAATCTTGTCCTAAACCTCATTGTAATTATAGTTAATTAAACACAATTAGAAAAAGCTTTACTCAATACTCTAAAAGCGGAACACAACTAAAAATTAAAAGTTGATTTTAGTATAAGTTAGTTATTGAAAGATTATGTGAAATGTAGGCGTTTTGCGGTTATCCGACACCAAATCACCACATATTTTGGGCAAATTCTTACCATTTTAATAATTAAATCATTAATAATTGTCTCAAACATCTAATACCTCCCTATCAGCACTACCTCTCTCTCTCTCTCTCTCTCTCTCTCTCTCTTTCTTTGGCTATCACTCTGTTTTCACTCTTAAATCTATACCTCGAATGACTCGAATGAACTGAAATGATAGCCAATGTTTGTGTCCAATCGGTGTTGCGTTTCTGTCTACGAGAGACTAAATTAGTATTAATGTAATCGATATCCTATTCTACCCTCAAAAAAGTTCACATCTCTCTTTCTCTCTCTCTCTCTCTCTCTCTCTCTCGCTCTCTCAAAAACACAAAATATTTCATTCATCAACAGTTTTCTTTCATCACATTTTCAATCATTGAATTTACAAAATTATTGTGAATATTATTTACAAATTTATTTAAAAAAACAAATTGTATTTCAAAAATACAAATAAATTATACAAAAAAAAGACAAAAAATGAAATAAAATTGAAACAAAAAATGACAAATGTTTAGAGAAATGAACGAATGGTTAAAATAGTAGACAATAAATGGTTAATGAAATGAATTTATCAATTGAGTGCACGTTTGCGAAGACAGTTCATGAAATGCAATCCATGGCCCGCTCTATGAGTGAAACTGCAATAATAGCCGAACGGACAACACGTGAACTCCCGTTTGGCCTCTTCTCCACACATAGAGCACCACCTCTTGCTCTTCAGCCAATTCACTCGCTTCGAGAACTTCTCCTCTCCGGCCATAAACTTGTGTCTCCAGAACTGTTCCTCTCTTTGGGCGGCCGCTAACTCGTCGGTCAAAGAGCTGAAAGTGGCGTTCATTTTCTTAATCAACGACATTATCGTTGTCTCGTCGATCACTTCCTCCGTGTCCTTCAAATCGTGCAACTCTTTCAGCAGCTCTTCGTTCACACGATCTGCGGATACAAAGCAAAGACAACACTCATTAGCGGTCGACGGCGTGAGTGAGCGGCCAATGGGTTTCGGGCGGACAAACCGATATCGCAATCGATGGCCACATCGTTGGTCTTCTTGACCACGTCTTCGCCGGTCGGCTGCGGCGCCGGCGGAAACAGTTGCTCCACATTATGAATGCCTCGCTTTCGGAGGTACTCTTCGGCGATGTGTCGCTCCTTCTCTTCGCGAAGCAGTCGTCGGTATTCTTCGGCGGTTA